AAAACTAAGTGAAATATTCAATATTGTCGAAAGAGAACCCCCCCCTATTTTATTATTTTAAAATTTGGGGGGGGGTTACCTTATATTAGGGCTTATACAGTAAATTACACTGTTTATCCCGACATAAGACACAAGAACACTATGAAGTTCCTTTCTTACGTCTCACTCTGCCTTTTCAGGGATGATATGATTAAACTGATTAAGGAAATTAATTTTTATAGGTAAATAGACGCCATCAAGTAAACACAAGTTAAGGTAAATTGGTAGGAATGGGTGCAACTAGGCAAGTGGCGCGGCCGGAGGGGTATTTATGGATGGAGTTCATCACCGCAGAAACGGAATGAACCGTACTCGCGATTTCACTTAATTATCTTCATACTAAAGACCGTTTTTCATGAGCATAATTGAAGATGGTAACCCAGCCGTTGTTGGTTAATTCAAAAGTTTTTGCTTTAAAAATTTATTGGGGCACGCGGTAGGGTAGTTTGTTGAGGCACCATACTACAAGCAGGAAGGTCGCGGGTTCGATTACCGTTTAGTACATTGGATTTTTCAACTGACTTAATCTTTCCAACCGCACTATGGCCCTGAGGTCGCCTCAGCCTCTAACAGAAATGTGTACCGGGAATCTTCCTGAGGGTTAAAGGGGGCCCGACTCGTAAGGCTGGCAAACTTACCGTCATCTGTGAGCCGATTGTCTAGAAAACGTGGGAACCTCGACGTCTCTCAACCCTATAGGCCTTCATGGCCTGTTACAGGAATAGCTTTACCTTTTATTTTTTATTATTCATTGATTAAATTATACGTATCCAAATATTAAAAATGTTTGCACTGCAGTTATTTACATTTATAAACGTAGAAAAAGTTACATAGTCTAAACAGAATCTCTGCAAATTAGGTACCATTTTTAGTTCAGGCCACAGAACGAATATGTCACACATTCAAGTTGTACTAAGATTGTACACGAAGTGTTAAAGAGTTCGAAGACGGGTTATAACTTCTGGCAGCGCAACTTCAAAAATTCAAATCCATTACGCCACAGAAGAATACATACCATTCGTCACTGCCCGAAAGTGCAAACGCTGTAGCTAGAGTATACTTAATCTGACGTAGCTCTGGTTGGCAAGTGCTGTTAATGGAAATCTCACGCCTGAAAACAATTGGCAATTCGCACCCTTCCGTTGCATGTCTACCTCGCAAATGTCAGAACTAAGAAATTCTGACACTAAGAATGTAGACACTTCCACAAAATTCCCGTTTTATATGCGCAGGACAATGGAATAAAACATAATCACAATAAACTTAAAATAATATCGAAATGGAATTCAAATATGTAAAGAGTGCCATCATCTGGGATATAACGCCGTGTAGTCTGTTGAGAGTCAGCCGAAGTTTCGGAGGAACACACCGCCTTCCTCTTTAGGATCGAATAAGCCGAGCAAGACATCAGCAAGAAAGCGGGTGGCAAGCTGGAGATGGAGGCGACATGTTCCTCCAACGTTGGTTGACTTTCAACAGACTACACGGCGTTACATCCCAGAAGGCAGTGCTCTTCATAGCCACCGCTGTGAGAACCTCAGACCCTACACGGCATTATGTCCCAGAAGATTGTACTCTTCATAGCCACCGCTGTGAGAACCCCAGACCCTACACGGCGTTATGTCCCAGAAGATTGTACTCTTCATAGCCACCGCTGTGAGAACCCCAGACCCTACACGGCGTTATCTCTCAGAAGATTGTGCTCTTCATAGTCACCGCTGTGAGAACCCCAGACCCTACACGGCGTTATGTCCCAGAAGATTGTACTCTTCATAGCCACCGCTGTGAGAACCTCAGACACTACACAGCATTATATCCCAGAAGATTGTACTCGTCATAGCCACCGCTGTGAGAACCTCAGACACTACACGGCGTTATATCCCAGATGATTGTACTCTTCATAGTCACCGCCGTGAGAACCTCAAATCCGCCAAATACTTACATAAATCGGGCTGTAAATAATCAGGTTAAAATCTAACAGGTTGTGACGATGGTATATTAATACATTTAGGAGACTGGGCTCTGTCTCCGTCATCATGTAAAAGCCTGCTCAGTTGGACCCAGTCGATAGAGTTAGTCCCTATCTCCGGTCTATCTTTCCGTTCCTGTCTCTTCCGGAGACAGGGCCCACCTAAGTAAGCGTTTTACCCGAGGTCGTGGACAGAGATGAATCTCGAAACGTTGTTTTTAAATAAAAAACAAGACGATTGATGATGTCCAAAATGTCAATAATTATAACAAACGCCGTGTTCTGTAGTCCTCAAGCGAACTATACCGACCGAGCGAACGGATCCCCACAGCCGTTAATCTCGGTTCTCTAGACCGGAGCCGCTGTTTCCTTGAAATAGCTCCTCAATTATCCTCATGAGGCTGAGTGGACCCTGTTCCAGACCCACTACTTATCGGGAAATCTGGTGGCGCCGGCAATCGAACCCGGGACCTCTAGATCTGTGTCCAGGAACTCTGACCAATAGACCACAGAGGCGTTTAATTATAACAATCAGGTTAATGAAATTGATTATCTGAAATTATATTAGAGATTTGGGTTTATTAAAAGGACGTTGTAAATAAATGCCTACCCACTTGTGATTCTTCTCTAGGAAACCAATGGAGAAAGTAACTAGTTTGTGTCAAGAAAGTAGCTGATCAAAACTGTGATCCGTAATATCTTGTCCAGTGATTATTATCCTCTTTGAAATTACTGTATAATTTATGTTCTCATAAGGGTGGTCGATTTTATATGCTGATAATTCTACCCGACGAAATCGAAGGCGTGGGGAAGTTGGCAGAGAGTCTCACTGGGCGTGACGTCACTGACCTCATCAATAATTTGGAGAACAGTGGCTCTTCACCGGTGGTCAATCTGACTCTACCAAAGTTCAAGTTGCAGACAACGTTACAACTTGGTCCCACTTTGCAAAAGGTAGGAAGAGTATGATAACCCAAAAGGTTAACGTTTTTGAGTTTTGACTAAGGTGTCAGAAGTACTCTTAATGGTGTCCCGATACACCTTCGTTTGTTAATAGCTTAACCAAGAACTGTGCAAATTGTATGCATTAAGTACGTAATTTACAAACAGGTACTGCATGTGTACTTGTAGACACATATCAAATTCATAATTTTTCTTTAGGTCTGTAACGTATTGGTTTATAGCACATCTGATTTCATAGCTAAACTCTAATTCGTGAACCATTAAATTTGTAGTAAATTTTTCGGCAATTCCCCTGGATATAAACTTCGACATCTCACTTGCATTTTACAAAATTTTGGTTTTAATCTGCGATTTAAATAGTTATAAATTTTATAAACTAAAAATAGCATAATATAAGCATCACAGTTCTGAAGATCAGGCTTTCGTGGATGTGATATCTTGTGAGTAGGTAGGTACCTGTTTTCCGAGGAATTCGATGCATTCATCTTGTACCTTGAAGGTTCAGGCAGCAGGTTCCTCCAGAATACTGTTAATTACCTACCAAACTCATGAAGTTTCATCCCAGAAGGCCGTAACCTTCCTATTCACCACCGTGAGAACCTCAAATCATCCCAGTTCTGAAACGTAAATATGTTTCAAATACAGTAAAAATGTGCATTAAAAGTTCAATGCAGTTATGTTCGGTATATCAAAAGAAATGTCAATTTTACCAAAAATATTAAAAGAAACATTTTTTTTTTAGAAATAAGCATCAAGAAATTGTGATACATTTCTTTTGAATGTATCATCATGTGAACAAGTACTTACTGAGGAAGAAGAGTTAAACTTTTTGTGTCTATTATATCACGTTTTGAAAGCACAGAGGGAAAGTAGAGGCAAGTCTTCACGCGTTTCGAACTTTTGTGCTGGGTGGAGGTGAGGGAGAAGATTTGTCTGGTACTATTTGGATATGACGTTAGATGGAAAAATACGCAAGTATTTTAGAAATATGGACGCAAAGATGAATCCCAGCTATAGATAGTAATCAATTTTGTGTCGTCGGGACAATAACTGCCATGTATTGACCGACATTTTTTTCATTAGTAATGTGTCATACGACAGGTCCACAGTCTCTTCCAAAACAGTTCCTCCACTTAATGCGATCTAGAGCTTTCTCCTTCAAATAAAAATATCCTCTTCTGTCCCCAAGGTCATCCAGCATCTTCTTACGTCTTTTTCCTCGTCTTCTGGTACTTCCGGGATCGGCCCACTATATTCACCCCTCGTTTGTGACTCCACCTTATCGTGGTGAGGGCGTTTGAGTGTGCCAAGGACCCTGAGAGCTATACCAGCGGTAGCGTAGCTACTGGCAGGGCCTCCCTTGCTGGACAGGTCAAAGGGTAGGCATCAGACGAAGAGAGACACCAAAAACCAAAAACTGACTGACATTAACATCAGATAAATCCAACAAGTTTTAGCTGAAACTAAAAGCGAGGTTTGCATTACAGAGTGACGTGCTTCTGGTTCTCAGATTGGTCTGACTGACTTGTTCACTGACCGAGCAAATCTGACTGGGATCTCGGAGGAGCCTGTAGCTGTGTCTCAAGTGATCCATAAGGCAGAGATTGAAGTGGATGAAGACGGAGCAACAGCCGCTGCAGTAACAGGTACTGCCAACTGTAATAGCTAGATCTTTTGTATTTCTCGCCTTAATTCTTACACACTGGGGTCGCATCATATGCACATTTAATTAAAATAAATAGAAATTTAATTAGCGCGGACTATTGGTCTACGACTCGCTCTCCGTCACCGAAGCCTGTTCCTGGGTCTCCTAGATCGAAACAAGACCTGACTACACGCAGGTTTATCGTTTTTCCTAAAGTAGGCTTATGCGACTTCATCCTATCTGTGTATCCCCCTCAAATCAACCCCTGAATGTCTAAACCAGTTTTTATGAAAATTGGTACGTACACGTATATAATGGCAGCTAAGTCCATCTCAACGGCGTACTTAATAACCCCCCTCAAATCAGTCTATATGTCTGTATGTGTAGTCTTCCATTTAATGCTAAGCAACGGCTCGATAAACACGTTCCCGCGGCAACGGATACACAAAAAAATAGAAAAATTGTTGGGCGCATCATTTTCTATGAGGTCCGTGTCTTATCAAAGGAGAGTCTATGGGTCTGTCTGTGTATCCCTAAATCGTTACTAGATAACAAGTCTGTAAAGACATTCCCTAGGCAACAAAGAGTTGCTAGACGCGTCGTTTTCTGTGCGATTTGTGTTGTATCAAAGAACCGATTAGTTCTCCCCAGAAATTCTTGTTACTTCTTCATTATTACGTCTCTCTCTATTTTATGTAATTAAAAGTAAAATTACCGTACATTTTATGTGTATATGTATTCTTTACTGTATAAATTGTATGAATACATATTACAGCGCATTACCTTTTGGGGGGTTATAAGGGGATTTTCAAGGGTAATTCTGATTATACGCGATCATGGGTTTACATGCCGTCTTTAGAGCCTAACCCCGGCATACCACCCACCTACAACACACGCAACTCTTAAGGCAGACTCTCCTCAGATGAGGAGAGGAGACACTAACTGTGTTGGTGCTGACCTCTGTCACTATAACTATAGCTATGTAAAAACCTGAAATCGGGCTTTCTCAATGGGAGATAATAGGAAAGTGTGAAAAGGGTAAAATTGTCTCTGCTCAACGAATTTAAGCACTACGCCATGAAGGCATGTGTGGGAGTGGATGTATAGATCCACATTTTCTTGAGCTCGGCACTGGCTGGAGGTGAGTGGTCAGCTTCACGCCCCGGCCGTTTTACCCCCGGGGAAGAGCCCCGGTACCCATTGGGTAGGAGGTTGGGTGGACCCAAGAACCGGTCTGGACGATTTGGAGAAGAGAAAATTCTTGACCCTACCGGGACTAGAACTCCGGACTCCTTAGTGGTCCAGCCTGTGCCAGTCGCTATACTGACTGCGCTACTCCGGCTTCTAATAGGAAAGTGTACAATATAAATTGTAGTAAAGCAAGTACAGACCTGAAACTGGGATATGAAAGGAGGTGCAAATTTTGTGTAATAAACCAAATCCATGAAAATCAATGCATAAGATTAATTTGGAAATTTTCATGTTGTGAAACGGAAACAGATCCAGTTTCCGAAACGTTGTGTTCTCTTGTGTTCTTGAGAATATCCGAAGATGGACAAAGTCCAAAATCCCAGTGATCCTGNGTAGTGAATAACACTCAGGATGAAGAAAGCAGTCTTTTGTGATTTGGCACCGTGTATATGTGGTGTTAACCGACGTTCCTCCGAAACGTCGGTTAACACCACATATACACGGTGCCAAATCACAAAAGACTGCTTTCTTCATCCTGAGTGTTATTCACTATCGTTAGAACCCTTCAGAATTTTCAAGGTGATATACTCATTTTGCGCTTTCTACTGTTCTCACGGGATTTAGCTTCGCGTAGACCATAAGTGTGATGGATCTTTTAATATTCTCCGCTATCAGCGAATAGGTTGACCCAACTGTAAATTGCCTGAAGTATATGACTCGAATCTCAGCTGAAGCACTGCTTGTCCTATATGGATTTTTGTATGTTACACTGCAAGTTAGCGTTGAAACAGGAAACGAGCATTTCCCTCCTCAGCCCTACCGGTTGATACCATAATTTAATCCTTTGCTTCATTCGACATGAAATATCCCGTGAGCGGAACGCTGTCCTTACTTGATTGTACTTTTCCCCCCTTTCACTACAGCCCCAGTGGGCCTAGACCTACCTCCATGAACTTCTCCGTTCACTTCGGTTTTTCTAGATCTTACACATTCGGTAGGTTCCTTGGGCCGGTGATCAGCTCGTCGCAAGGCCTCTACCTGTACACAAACACAGAAAACGCACACACACAAACTAAACATCAATGCCCTGAGTGGGATTCGAACCCACGATCCCGGTTTCCAAGCGAGCGAAGACAGGACATGCCTTAGACCGCTCGGCTACCGTGACCGGCTGATTGTAAATATACCCATAATAATTGCTACAGAAGAACCTACGAACTAACCAGTTACTCATAATCGCTTTTAGCGACATTGCTATTGACATTAGAATTGGTTTAATTAAACAAGTTGCAAGGATGTGAAATTGTGATTGAATTAGAGGGGGAATGGGTAAAGTTAAAAATTTCCCTGTGTTTAATTAATGAAGTACCACGCCATAAAGAACTATAGGGAATGGATGTATAGATCCATAATTCTCGGCACTAGATGGAGATGGCATGCACTGTCTTCGCTCGCTCGGAAGCCGGGATTGTGGGTTCGAATCCCACTCAGGGCATGGATGTTTGTGTACAGGTAGAGGCCTTGCGACGAGCTGATCACCCGCCCAAGGAGTCCTACCGAATGTGTAAGATCTAGAAAAACCGAAGTGAACGGAGTTCATGGAGGTAGGCCTAGGCCCACTGGGGCTGTAGTGCCAAGGAAATAAAAAAGATGGAGATGAGTGGTCAGCTTCACGCGCCGGTCGTTTTACCCCTGAGGAAAGAGTCCTCGTTGCCCATTGGTTAGGAGGCTGGGTGGACGCTTTGGGGAAGAGCACATCTCTTACTCCTTCTGAAATCGTCCAGCATGTAGCCCGTTGATATACCGACTGAACTATACCGGCTCCTCGATGGATGTGTAGAAAAGTCCATACATCTGATTAGATGATATCGCTCGCCAACGGAAAACTGAAAATATCAATACAGGGTCCCTGCGGACTGTTTGTACAGAATCTTAACTCCGCAGACAGACATTGCTTACGCTAAAAGCAATAAGACAGGCAAGGAAATTGTTTAGAATAAAACAAAAGTAAAAGTTTAGGATTTGTTTTGATAAACGACTATTTAACCCATTAATATTTATCTAGTAACATAGACACAAATCCGGAACAGCTTACGAGTATAAGCCTGCCATGACTAAGTAAATGTCTGTAATTCATTCCACGGTTAATAAAACAAATTTATGTTGCCGGTCTTAACAAGGAAAAACTACTTAATAGCCTTGACGGATCGGTGAAAACTTGCGTAAGTGTACATTTTAAGACCGCAGAACGGACAAAGTTATTTCCCAATGCAGTCTCACGTCATACCTAACATATTCATACTTACTTCCTCGTTCTGTCGAGACGATTAATGGAAGTATTTTTTGTATTGCTAGTGGGGTGGGACTAAGTCCCTTGTACTGCGGCCACTTCTGGTCTATTGTACCAGCCCCAGATGATAGGTGAGGGTGATTGTGGAGTAATTGGTGGAATGAAGATTGGTCGGGGAAACCGAAGAACTCGGAGAAAACCTGCCCCAGCGCCACTTTGTTCACTACAAATCCCACTTGACCAAACCCGGGATCGAACCCGGACCGCCGTGGCTTGAACTATGGCGCGGCCATTAATGGAAGTATATATACGTTACACCCGATCTATCATTTTGCTGTTGAACATCCTTGAAACTAACAAAAGCTATACATGAATAGTATTTACTCAAGTATCCACTTTGGTCTTAGATTAAAATTCACTTTTTTCTTTCTTTCTTTTTTTCGCTGGGTCTACAGCCCCCTTGGCCCCTTGGCCTCTGGTTTTTTCAGTTTCATGTTACAGATGGTACGACTCCTTGGACGAGTGATCTGCTCGTCGCAAGGCCTCTACCTAAACACAGGACAACACAAACACAAACACATACCAAACATCCAGGCCTTGTTTGGCATTGAAACCCACGATCCCGGTTTCCGAGCGGACGAAGACAGTACATATATTAGACCGCTCGGCTACCGTGACCGGCAGATGTATAGACCATAATAAATATTACTTGCACGTCACGTACGTCAGATATTATCAACACTCACAAAATAAAACGGTACGCTGAAAAAAGACTGTTCGCTAGTTCGTGACATATTACTAGAATATACTATGGCACATTCGCTCAAAGCAAGTATTGTACAATAATTAGCAATCAGAAAACAATACCCGACCGACAGATTGAATCTTATATAATGAATGCAGTTAATTATATTTCTTCACCCTACAGCCATACATGCTAACGCTCTTTTTGCATCACTGGCGCCTCCTCCTCTACTTGTGTTCAGAGTGGATCATCCCTTCATCGCATTCGTCGTGGACGATCTCAACAAGCTGCCGCTATTCGCTTGCAGAGTCACCGATCCCACGGCTTCGTAATATGCAAATGGCTATTGTTATTCCAACTTGATAATCGCAAAGTGATTGTGCAGGTGTACATAGACGGATGAAGAAACTGTGAAATATGAAAGTATTTCAAGCGTATAATATTTAAGATTAAGTTCAATAAAGTTTTTAAATATTTGTGTGTAGTTAAAATTAAATTAATATTGGACTGTGTTCCTCTTCATGATGTAATTTATTCCATTCTACCGTGTATCCCCTCTTTTCATTCCACTTGTTTCTGCCAACAACACTTTTCTCTCATGTCCTACTGTAGCCTACACCATAAATTGCTGGACAACTGTCATGTGAACTTACACTTCTCATGTATTCCGTTTGTATTTAAATGGTCCCAACCCTTTACACTCATGGTTTGAGCTATGATTGGTTTATATATATCTTATAGGGACTAGCTCTATCGATTAGGCCCAACTGAGCAGGCCAATTGAAAAATCCAATGACATCGGGATTCAAACCTGCGACCGTCCGGCTTGTAGCATAATGCCTCAACCAAAAACGCTACCTCGTGAGATGTTTTTCAGTTTACTTTGTGTCATTTATGGATTTTCAAGGTCAATATATATAGTGTTCGTTTTCTGCTACGAATTCTGTTCTTCTCTTATCAGTAAACCATACTGTATTTGCGAATAAGAGGGGAAATCCTCAGGAAGCGGTAAAACTTGCTCGAAATTTTGTTTTTTATTTGTATTCATTGTCAGAAAGTGACAGCTATGACGTCATTGTCAGTTACCATAATTAGAATTGTGATTAGCATGACTAAACAACAACAGCAGCAATCATACATAAACTTCACGGAGAATATTAGGTCTAATTAGTGGTGTGTTTTTGTGAACACGGTAATGAATTTTAGGATATCACATAAGACGGGGACTTTTTCTAGTACCAATTTCTCAGCTACTAGAAAAAGTCCCCGTCTTACGTGATATCCAAAAATTCATTACCGTGTTCACAAAAGCACACCACTGGTCTATATCCTGAGCCAAATTAAACCAATAAACACCCTATTTCTTTAAGATCCGTTTTAATATTATCCTTCCATCTACGCTTAGCTCATCCAAGTGGTCTCTCCTTTGCAGGATGTCGGGTCAAATTTTATGTACATTTCTCACCCCGTCTGTGCTCTGAGTGTCGCATCCTCATTGATTTCATCATTCTAATAATATTTAGTGGGCCGGTCACGGTAGCCGAGAGGTCTAAGACATGCATTGTCTTCGCTCGCTCGGAAACCGGGATCGTGCGTTCGAATCCCACTCAGGGCATGGATGTTTGTGTGCGTTTTTCTGTGTTTATGTATAGGTAGAGGCCTTGCTACGAGCTGATCACCCGCCCATGGAGTCCTGCCGAATGTGTAAGATCTAGAAAAACCGAAGTGAACGGAGGAGTTCATGGAGGTAGTCCTATGCCCACTGGGGCTGTAGTGCCAAGGGGAAAAAAATTAGTAGAATGTACAAATAATGAAGCCCCTCATTACGCAGGTTCTCCAGCTATAGGCCTATTCTCCTTCGCATCCTACTTGCAGGCATCCCCAGTCTGAGTGGATTCTAGGTGCTTGGAGCAGTGAATATTTAGAATACTCTCTTCTGGGATGTGACACTAATAATGCCATATAATTCTCACGACGTTCCGGAAGAAGATACCCCCTCCATCTCCAGGGTCGATGACTGAATTACGAACCAGGCAGCAAGCTGAGTCAGCCACGATGCCGAACCGCCTCTGGGACCAGCCCAGCCTTCTTTCCAATGTGTACACGGGCTCTTTCCCCGGAGGTATAGGGCGTATAGGCGTCGGGACGTGAAGTTGGCCACTCGTCTCTATACACTGCTTAGGAAGGCGTAGATGTAACCTTCAGTCCCCACTACTTCCTCACAGCGTCGCGATGTTCACTTAGCGGCTACACATTCACCCCACCCCTTCGCACATCCCGGAAACAGCCCATGCTTATGGAGGCGTAATTGCGAGTAATGGAAGTTATCTGGCGCTTGCTGTTATCTTATGAAGGTCGCGGCATGGGAACTGAACATGGGATTCCCCGTTGACTGGGAAACAGGTTATATATCCCCACTTTGCACGTAGCAGCTCATTTGAGTAACATACAACAGCGCGGTATGTGGCTAGGTGAGTACTGAACACGCATTAACGTTTACTACACCGCTTTGTTCCTGCAAACGCCAGAAATCTGCCCCTGGGTGCATAAAGTGCACGGAGTAAATGCATATCGGAGAGGTTCTTTTATCCTTCCGCCTGTACACAATTTTTTTTAGTTTCTTCGGGTGGGGTGAGACAGTCCACTTGGTACGTCAGCCACTAACTGGTCTGTTGTACAGTCCCGGATGATATATGATGAGTGTGGTGCAGTAGGCGGAATGAGAATNTATATATATATATATATATATACCGATTGTTTAACTCAGAAACTGATACGGATGAATATCTTAATTACGTATCGTCAACACTTCGCAGAATTCTTTGTTTGCTGCTGATCTGATTACAGTTGCTTGTACGGAGCAGAGTCTGAGCGAGTCCTTTCATAAACTGCATAATACGTGTATAATTAATGAATATGATTGAGGGATCCTGCAGAAAACGAGCTTAATTGCGTCTAGATGAGAAGAACATTTTTTTAATTCGCCTAGTGGGGGGTGGAGTCCAACTGGGTCCACTCGGCAAGGCGGCCACTGATTGGCATATTGTAGCCTGCCCGGGGTGATTATGATGATGGAGAATTTGGTGGAATGAAGATTGGCAGGGGAAACCGAAGTAGTCAGAGAAAACCCGCTCCAGCGCCACTTTGTCCACCACAAATCCCACTTGACCAGACCCGGGATCGAACCCGTGCCGCCGCGGTGGGAAGCCAGCGACTAACAGCTTGAGCTATGGCGCGGCCTGAGAGGAACATTACTTCAGATGTGAAAATAATTGTATAAGTAAGAGTTCTCAAACTTTTAAGCTACTGTACAAGATGTGAGAAGAGAAAGTTACCTCAGTATGCAATTGTCTATATAACAAAAAGTAATTAAAAGATGAACATTACTAGTGAATGTCGAAAACAAAGTTTACTTTAAAGTCGATTCGTTTCGATCCAGTGCAATCTACTCTATTAATAAGGAAAGGAAAACGAACTTTTAGGTTATATTTATAAAAAAGAAGCACACTGTGCAAAAATATTAGCATCAGATACAAAATACAGACGCCAAGTTTGGTGTATTTTCAGACTTGGCTACCATTTAACGAATTAAAAACATATTAGTTCTGGGTTTCTGCAGTTTAATATTTGTAGCGTGGTCAGCTTCACAACCATAGATTCGTATCTACATATACAGAACATTAAGGCCAACGTCATATGCAAAATCATAAAGAATGCGTTTAGAATATATGTGTACTCCGCTGGAGTACGAATTATACTCGTGGGACAGAGGCCTTTCTTCGGGGCCGTATCGAGATTTGAGTATGGCTGTCAGTCTGTGAGTCTTCTCATTCAAGGAACTATCTCCAAAGAGCAGAGAATTTCTTTTTGGCGTTATCATTTTATGGGCTTGCCTTCTTCACTATTCATACTAATTTGTTTTCCCAATCTCTTCTCCTTCATCTTCTCCGTGGCGCACACGTCTCGGCAATCTTTCTTCCTTCCTCAATATGGCCGCACCATCTCAACGCTGTAGTTCCTAGGTTCCTTATCTCTGACGAAGCCACATCCGCTCCTTACCACAAGGCTTCATTTCTAAGTCCAGTCTGTTTTATTTCGTCGCCTGAAGACTTCTCAAATAGTCAAATCCAACCGTCCTTCGCTTACTCCTCAAATTTTCAGTCAATGTCAACAATGCGTTCATCTACGTTGCCAAATATATTCTTACTGATTTGGGCTTTCACTGTGGTTAACTACTCATGATAATTCTGTTATTCGGTTGCTACACTGTGTCGTTGTAGGCTGTTTTCGGAATTTTGAAGGTACATACTGCTTCCATCTTCAAGGTCAGAAACTTCGACTCTATCCCGAAATATTTCCCTCAAAGAGTCCATGGATACCCTTGCTATACGAGCTGCAGCGGAACCTTGTTCATCATTTGTTAGCCGCTGGAGAAGATTGATCCACTTATTCTACTTGTCCGCACACCGTACCTTGCAAGAGTTTTATAATCACGCGCTGGAAAGTAGTATGTTACTATGAGATTGTGAACTTCAACATCTGATGATCTGTATATTTTTTATTGCTAGTGGGGAGGGACTAAGTCCCTCGCTCTGCGGCCAATTCTGGCCTATTGTACCAGCCCCAGATGATAGTTGAGGGTGACTGTGGAGCAGTTGGTGGAATGAAGATTGGCAGGGGAAACCGAAGTACTCGGAGAAAACCTGCCTCAGCGCCGCTTTGTCCACCAGAAATCCTACTTGACCAGACCCGGGTTTGAACCCGGGCCGCCGCGGTGGGAAGCCAGCGACTAACCGCTTGAGCTATGGCGCGGCCGTACTGTATATTTACTTGACAGTGTAAGTTAAACAAAGTCTGTGTTAACCGATATTCGGGATAGCGTAGTCGGTAGTCGGTATAGCGACTGGCTACGGGCTGCACAACAGAGGGTTCGGAGTTAGAGTCCTGGTGGGGGCAAGAATTTCCACTTCTCCATAGCGTCTAGACCGAATCTGGGGCTCAACTAGCATCCTATCCAATGGGTAACGGTATTTTCCCAGGGGGTAAAACGGCCGGGGCGTGAAACTAACCCTTCACCTCCAGCTAGTGTCGAGGTCAAGAAAATGTGATCTATACGTGCACTCCCTCATACGCCTTCATGGCGTAGTGCTTAATTAATTAAGCACAGGGACAACTTTATCTTTACCTTATTTTTTTTTCCTTGGCACTACAGCCCCAGTGGGCCTAGGCCTACCTCCATGAACTTCTCCGTCCGTTTTTCTAGATCTTACACATTCGGTAGGACTCCTTGGGCGGCTGATCGGCTCGTCGCAAGGCCTCTACTTGTACACAAACACAGAAAAACGCACACACACAAACTAAACATCCATGCCCTGAGTGGGATTCGAAGCCACGATCCCTGCTTCCGAGCGAGCGAAGACAGTGCATCCCTTAGACCGCTCGGCTACCGTGACCGGCCTTATCTTACTTGACATATGCTAATTAATTGTATTTGTATAAAGAGATCTGCTATGAGGAACTGAAAATTACGAGGGAATATTCTTTTCAATTCCTTTACAGAACCAGTTTTCACATGGGTGTCATACAGTGACACTCTGTGTTCCAGCGTTTATCTCGCGCGTGGCATTTCGACACATAAAATAAGAGGACTGAGTGAATGTTTCTCCCACAGGTCACGTAAAGTAAGGTAAGGAATTAAAGCTACACGAAGCTAGGGATATGCAAGCCGCAAGCCCACTTCATGTTGGCCGTATACAATTTTCTTGAGCTCCAGAAAAAGAAAACATCACCACGTTTGTACGCATTCCCTCATCCGTATTAAATGTTTGTCATATTTTGTACTTGCTGATTTGAGGTTTACTGACCAGATGTAAAGGGCGCGATTATAATCCTGCAACATTTGTTTCTTACAGCAAGTCTGTATTTATTGCTGTGCACATCGTGGCTCTCACGAGCTCAAGAGTCAAGCACCGCTGTCAGCAATCGGGTCGCCGAAGCAACATACCTCTTTTCAGTGGACCTATTCAAGGTAACTGGGAACCACATACATATACCCTACGTAACTTACATGATGCATACGGCCGCGCCATAGCTCAAGCGGTTTTTTTTAATTCGCTTAGTGGGGGGTGGAGTCCAACTGGGTCCACTCGGCACGGCGGCCACTGATTGGCCTATTGTAGCCTGCCCCGGGTGATTATGATAATTGAGAATTTGGTGGAATGAAGATTGGCAGGGGAAACCGAAGTACTCGGAGAAAACCAGCCCCAGCGCCAATTTGTCCACCACAAATCCCACTATAACCGCTCCATAGCTCAAGCGGCGGCCCGGGTTCGATCCCGGTTCTGGTCAAGTGGGATTTGTGGTGGAATTAAAAAAACATTACATGATGCATTCTTCTTCTCCCCCATTCGTGCTACATGCCATGCCCACCTCATCCTCCTTGACTTGATAATTTTAATTATACTTGGAGAGGAGTACAAGTTATGAAGCTCCTCATTATGCAGTTTTCTCCAACCTCTTGTCACTTCATCCTTCTTCGGTCCAATTAAACGAAATAGTATACATATAAAATATTTGTAAGTCTGTGAAATGGACATATACGTCTGTATATATATATATATACAGTAACATCCATGTCTGTAATACACGAGTAGCAGTGCCAGTAACATACAAAGAAACAAAAACGCATTCGGAAAACAGTGTAGGCTTACTGTATGGAAAAACTTTTCCCTTGTTCACATTCCTTCAGGTTCTAACTCTAACGTCTTCTGAGTGGTATATTAAAGCTCGGAATGTAACACGTCAATTTTACGCAGGCGGCACTGAAGGCTGATGCGGGGAACGTGGTGATTTCTCCTGTCAGTGTGTCCACTTTGTTGGCCCTCGTTCAGCAGGGGTCAGGCGGCAACACGGCGACTCAGCTGGAGGAAGTGTTGCATCTCGACCCTGAGCAGTCTCGAGATGGATACAGTCATCTCACGAGAAATCTCAAGGTAACATGACGGAAACGGTAAACATACGAGCCGGACAACTAAAACAAAACCATATCTGTTGAATGTCATCACATATGCAGACACGTAACTCGTTTCAGGTCACGCCTGTGTAATTAGCTGAAGCTTCAACAAGGCGCGCACACGTAAACTTGTAGACAAATATGTTATATAACTCTATGTTGTACTGCTAGGAAAATGTTAGTTTGTATGTTATAGCCACTCTGCGGAGTGCATATACAGTTTCAGGTTTGTCAAACGCCGTGCTTTCCATATAATGTTAAAGTTGTTGCCAATTTCACACAGAGCCACTTACAAAATTACTGTTATATTTCAGTTTCCCCTTGCACTGAGACATTATCCTTATTGTTAAAGCACCCGTCAATAATGCAACAATATAAAAGACATCTAGAATATGTTTCTCACTAAAAATGTAACTTTAATACTTTATGATGTTGGTGGACAAGTGAACAGTGCAGTGGTCTCCCCAAAAACAAAACAAAAATTGCCTGATGATGGTCCATATGCGGACGAAACATGTTGTAAACTGAAAAAAAAACATATGTAAAACTAGAGACATTTTAGTAATTTGGTAATCACTTTTAATGTATAAGTTATATTTTTAGTGTCCTAATGACATTTTAGTGATTTCATCAACATCATAAAGTATTCAAGTTACATTTTTAGTGAGAAACATGTTCTAGATGTTTTTTCTATTGTTGCATTATTGGCGGGTGCTTTAATAATAAGGACAAAACAAAAGTACTGGTTTATCAACTATGACACTACATACTTAGTTAGTTAGTTAGTTAGAGAGGGTGGGTTTCCCCATGCACCGCGACCAGTTTGATCTATTGTGCTTCCCTCTATGATATTCTACCAGACACTACATACTTGCTTAGTAACCAGAACTGTAAGGGCCGCGCCATAGCTCAAGCGGTTA